TCCCCATCCATCCCACTGAAAGTCACCTCCACCACTCAATAAAACCCCACATTCACTATCCTTCAAGTCTGTGTGTGATCTGATTTTTCCTGGACACCAGACAAGAGCTTGAGATACAGAAAGCTGTTGCACTGGCCCTCTGTGAAAAGGCAGAGGGTCCACTCAGCCATTTAATACTTAAGCTGCCTATGGACTGCAAAGCTATCTGAACATACTGTAACACACACCCAGTTGGGCTTCAGGAGTTTCAGGCACCCACCCCTAGATGCTGTTGTGGGGCCAGAGCCCAGAAGTGCTTGCCCCAGCTCCTGCACCTGCCCATCTGTGTACTCCCCGCTCCTGTAAGGGGTTCGGGAGCATATGGCAGGTGATCAGACAAGCCACATTTTTGTCACAAGTCCTGCAAAGGGGGACAGGGAACTCTCCCATTTCACTACTCCAATGAATCTATGACACAGTTTTGAGAATCCCTGCTTTACAGAGTAAGACTTCATCAGGATTTTAACTAATGGAAATGGGCTATGAGGATAGTCAGGCAAAAGCATACAAGCAAAGGAGTAGAGGAAAGAGAATGCAGGATTTGGGAAGAGCAGAATAAGAATTTGAGTAGGTTCGAGTATTTATGCAAAGTATATTAGCGAACAGAGGAAAATAAAGTTTCCTTTGTGGGAGCAATATTTTGGAAACTGATTGACATTCCGAGGAGTCTGAATCTTATTTTTAAAATATGCAAAGTACTGCTGTTTATGCATGCCATTGTTAATTATATATTACTTCTTCTCATTTCTAAATGACACAGATAACTATGCCTAGATAAAAGAGCAATTGCTCACAACTTCTATATTAAAACTGAGAATCACTGACTCCTACCAGTACATCAAAGCACAGAGTGCATTGTACCCTACAGTACCAACAAATCACTGTCATCATCTTCTTCCACAAATATTAATTTACAAATTTTTGTGTACTATTTTCTCCTGGCATTATAAAGATATACAAGCTAAAAAGAGACAGACAAAGAAAGACAGAGAGAGACAGAAGAGACTAACTCTGACAAGCTCTTCAAGAATAGTGATTCTGTCTACCTCTGCAATACTAGGACTGGTCATTTCTTCAATCATATGTTACATTTTAAGAGAAAAAGGCAAATCTTAAACATTTTTTTCTCATAAAATAAATCTTGTAAGCATGCCGTTCTTTATGATATCAATATTATTCAAGGCTTACAGTAATGGATAAAATCAGTAGTGAAGGTGCTATTATCCTCATCTGACAAAAAGTGACATAGAGTGACATGAGACTATTCTTCTAAAAGCCTCAACTGATACATTTTAGATGATAACATATGCCATTGTCTGAAGAAAAAAACATAGCTGAGTACACGTTGCAAACCACTTTTAAAAAAATTGTAAGAGTTATTTTAGATGCTGATATTTCTTTTAAATGTAAGCATTAGTGGTTGATATTATTTAGGGTTTATTCAGATGTGCTCATTTTCAGTGCCATTAAGCTATGTTATTATGATCCAGAATATGTCAGGTTATTAATCCCTCAAGAACAGACATCTTAACTTGTTCATAACCATATTCCCAGAAGACCCAAGGCAGTGCTGGTATGATGGCTTTTCATAATAAACTTTTTTTTTTTTTAATAAAAGACTCATGGTTTTGTGATATTTAACATCTTATGTCATGCACCACAATCTACACAACACAACTAGTTATATCAAACAAAATAGAAAATAAATCTGACTTGATACAGTTTTGAATGTCCATGCCTTCAATCATTTGACACATGTGCACTGAATGCCTTCTCTTTGACTATATTATCTTAGGGGCTGGGAGTAGAGTAGTAAAAGGCAAACAAGGTCTCTGCCCTCAAACAACTTGTACACTTGTGGCAAGAGAATATTACACACATGTGCATGTGAATAAAAATGCTAAAAAAGACATAAAAGAGAGTATTATAACAAAGTGTAGGGAAGGATTATTTCAGAGAAAAGTCACGGAGGGTCTCCATGAAGAAGTAACATTTGTCTGAGACCTAAATAACATGGCACATACAACAAGAGAGGTGTTGAGAGCTCCAGACAGAGAGCAGTAAAGGCAAAGGCCCTGAAACTGGAATGAGCTTTTTGTCATGTTCAAGGCATGAAAAGATCAAAAAGACTTATATATATACAGGAAATGAGTCCAAGAAGCAGGCAGGAACAATATCGTCTAAAACCATGAAGGTCATATAAAGTTAGAAATTTATTTTACGTTCATTGGGAAGGCATTAGAAGGCCATAATAAGAAAGTATCACTATCTGACTTACATTTTTTTTTTGTCCAAGAAATATTCTGAACCAACAGAGTATTCCCAACTACCACAGAAATACTAAGTGAGGGTCAGATTTCTGTCCTTATGAAGGATCATTTACAAATATTTTCCCAAAAACATGGAAATGAAAGGAAATTCAGACTATTCTCAAATTTAAAATGCCACTAATCCAAACAACTCCAACTCCAAGGAGTCCAGTTCACTGAGGTTTTCCTTTGCAAAACAGGGATCAGTTTGTAGATGAAGAAAGAGGCTCCTTGAGAGTGCAGGAATTTCACCTCCTCCTTCAGGCAAGTCACGCAGCATGTTAGAGAGAAATGAGAACCAGGACAAGTGCCAGGGACATTTATGAGGGTGATAGGGCTGTACGGGTAAGATTGAAACAAGAGGCATAAACTGAAACTGTTCCTAGATTCTCCCTTGACCTAGGTCTGATCCTCCACTTGTAACCAAACCAGTTATGTGGCTGGGAACGAGGTGTCACCTTTCTGAGACTGAGTTTCTTTATTGATCGTATGATACGATTGCATTTTCACATTTATTAAACAACCATCACCAAAGGGTCTCACTGAAGAAACAAAAGAAAAAAGCCCATTCGCTGGTCATAGTCTAGTCAGAGAGCAAATATATTGTATCAGTGAAGCTACTGAAACATTCACTCAGGAAAAAGGTCTAGAGTTAGCAGACGAGAGGAGTGACAAGTCTTTGGGAGGCATCAAAGAATACTTCATGGGGACTTGGTGAAACATGAGTTAAATTTAGGAAAATGAAATTCATATGTGAATCATCATGTTTCATCCCAGCCAGAGGAACAGCGTACATAAAGGCAGAGAAGTGTGCCGTCCCATGGCAGGTCCTAACAGTTATAAAACTGGTTAACTACACTGAATACACATAGACACAAAGATAAGACACCTGAGGACTGCCTAAGGAGGGAAGAAAGAAAGGTTTGGAAGGCTACCTATCATGTACTATGCTCACTACCTTGGTGACAGGATTATCTGTACACCAAGCCTCAGCAATGTGCAGTTTACCCATGGAAAAAACCTGCACATGAATCCCTTGAACTTAAAACTAGAAAAAATAAATAAATAAATAAAATTGGTTTAACTAGCTGGTCTCTAAGGTCCTTTGTGCACTAAAAAATCTAAGAGTCTCCTCTTTTAATGATGTCAAATATGATCTGTAAAAATAAAAATTTTCTTTTAGTCACCATGCTTAATGTCATATGTTAATATTCTATCATCTTCATTCCTCAACAATAGCCATTTGAGCTGTTCCTATTCATATAACATTGATTTACAATGAGCTGCATATGTACAGAAGTACCTGGCAATATGTAAAGAAAAAAGAGTATGGGGTAGAATGCTGAATATGCTGTGACATTTAAAATAACAGCTAACATTTCTTGAACATTTAACATATTAATTCAATTATCACAACACTCAATAAGATATAAACATTATTTCTATTTTACAGATGAAATAGCTGAAGTACAGACTAGATAAAAATTTTCCAATGGTAAACAGAAGCAGCAGAGCTGGAATTTGACTGCCAACATCTGGCCCAAAAGTCTATGCTTTTAGTAACTACACTACATGCCTCTCAACACTAATGTCAAGACTTTGGGGAATAATTCATGCCACGTGGCCATTGTTCTGTAATTCATCTTTGCTTTACATCAACATCAGTGGAGAAGTTGAAAAAACACTGACTATATCTCAGCAGCAGCCTTTAGGAAAAAAAAAATACATACACACACACACCCCCTAAGCAGAGAAAACAAATTTTCAAAATCAAATTCCCACTTTCTAATTCAGCAAGCTGAACTTTGGGAACCCAAGGTCAGAATGCTTGCCCCCTAGGTTGGTCCAAATCAGCATTAAGAATTCAACAGAGGTGACACAACATGAAAAAATTGTATTGGCTAAGGTTCTCATGGAAACAGTTATGTTTTTGAGCAGTTGTGTGGCTTTCATGAAAGTTGTAAGGTCTTGAAGGTAAATAATTCCATCTGCTAATTTCCCAAGATCAGTGTTTAACAGAACCACAAGGAGAGACCCAACCAATAAAGGAGACTTTTCAAGAGATGATGGTGGTGGCAATAACAACAATAATGTTAATGCAACTGTATCATATATGTGCACCAATTCAAATCTTGCAGTTTTTAAATAGGTGGTATTCTCGTTTAATCCTAATAATATGTATATTGTTACCCCATTTTTACCATATACACAGATGAAGGATGAGAGACTATAGTGACATTTGCAGTATAAGAGATGAGATTCAAACTAAACTTTCTTATTCTAAATCCAGTATCCAGTATTATTTAATATTTCCTCATCTCTACAGTTGCCTCTCAAACTGTCAAAAATTTCAGTAAGTCATCACGGTTTTCCTTAGAAATAATTAAGACTAAGGTTTTCCTTAGAAAGAACACAGCCATCACACACAGTCCCAGGCTTTGTTCCTCTGTCACAGTTTCTATATAAAAATTCTAGCACACCACATTGCATGATCCCTGGCCTAAGCCCTGAATTGTAGAGGGAGAAAACTTGAAAACTGATGCGTTTAACCAATGAATGGTCATAACACTGGGAGCTGAACAGAGTACCAAAGCAAGCTGCACCTCCTGCAAAGGCCCGAGTGGCTGGAGGGCACGCCTGAAAGCTGCTTACCAATACAGGACTCCCCGGACAGTGAATAGGTCCCATCGTCATGGAAACCGCTTCTGCACTCACAGTGGTACCACCCTGGCAGGTTAACGCAGCGGGAATGGTTGTGGCACTCAATGATTCCCTCTGAACATTCATCAATATCTGCCTCAGAGAAAAACACAAGCCCACCAGGATATTAATTTCTTTTGACACTAACCTTTCAGGAAATGCCTAAAACATGCTCATCATGTCAACATATCAATTAAAACTGTTCAGTCACCTACAACGAAAGTCATCTGGAAGAACCAAATCCTATGTTTTCCAGAATTCAAACGAATTGAAAGCTTCATTCTTGGATGTTTTCTCTTGTACTGAACAATGAATGAGAGCTTATGGTCACAAAAAATCCTAACTCAAAGGCTGTGTTGTCTCTGAATAAGAACTAATTTGAGGGTGTTTGGCACAGTTTTGGTATTAGGTATATATGACTTTTTTGGATTAAACATTTCTAAATTGGTAATTCCAGATTTTATTGTGTGTCCTTTGAAAATGTTTATGAACAAATAAGTTCAGGAAGCTCTGGATTAAATATTATTAAACTGATTTTTTAAATGACAGCCCCAGAGACTTGTCATAATTATATGTCCTGCAAAGCTTTTGGATAATATTGATAATATGCATGGTTTCCCAAATTTATTTAGCTAATAACTACCTTTTCTGGACATATCTTTAATATCTTGCAAAACTAGTGTTGTAGGGAACACAGTTTGGGAACTATTGTTCTATTTCTTTTAAAACTATGGATGGATTATGCTAGTCCATCAGAGATTCTCATTCTTCATTCATTCTTGAGGAAAGGAAGTCTCCTAGGCTTTTTTTTGTTGTTGTTTATTTGTTTGTTTTTCTCTAGGCTCTGGCTTTTTAGAATCACCAAATACCTGGTTCATGTATAGATTTTCTAGCACAAAGCCTTGACTCTGCACTGAAGGAGGTTGACACCACTGCGGAAAAGAGAATTGTCAATTGTTCAACCAGGTTCAGTTCATTCTTACAGAATTTCTCCAAGTAGTTATTTCTTAGAATGTAGCTACCGCTGCCTGGGAATCTTCTTTGACTTCTCTTGGAAATATCTGAAATGTGGGACTCATATGAACATAAATTTAATTATTAAACATTGGAATCTAACCCATAATGAATAAAATGTACTTTGCAATTTCTTTTAACAGGACCCTGTTAGAGGCATCAGTTCAGGGGCATTCAGCTTCCCCTGGTTCTATATCTTGACAAGTCCTGTGTTGTGCACCAGGCTGTTAATTTAGTTTGAAACTGGATACTCTGATCTCAAGGCATTCTGGCCAAGTAAAGAGAGAAAAGGTGTAGTTTCTCATACTGTGCGACGCCAACTCAAATACCACCTTCTTCCTCTGTAGCACATATTGTTCAGCCCATAAAATCTTTTCACATACATCATCCCTTAGACTTCTAAATGCCCTCAGTCCCCAGGGCCTAATATTTGTATAGGATCTTCAGATATTGCAGTCAGACTGTGTGTGTGTTTATTATAAATTCCCAGAAAATAAATTTCCAGTCACCATGTAGATTGCCATACCTCAAATTTTTAAGGTCCAAGTTCTCTGGGACATATGTTGGATCACCAAAAACTTTAAAACTTCAAGTAGAGAAATGACTAAGCTCTGTGGCTCTTGGACGGAAAGTGCTTATTCTAAATGACAGAATCAGCCCACTGCTTTTTGAATACCAGGGAACAAGAGAGACACATATAAACAGAAGGCTGATTATAGAGAGGACTTTTCTATGTTAGGCTGAAGGATAACTCTCTGTAACAATGCAGCAACCAATTCTACCTCTGATATTTATTTCCAAAGCTCTCAGAAAAACTAGTCATGATTAACACAGATCCTGTTGCCAATAGGCTGTGGACAATACTTTAGGTTATAGCCATGGTTAGCGTTTTGGGAAATCAGGAGATACACAAATAGAAGCATCTCAACCACAGCAATCATATGTCCTGGTTTGCCTGGAAAAGTCCTAGTTTACACCTACTTCCCTTTCACCACCTGAGTTGGAGGATAAATTATCTGATCAAATAAAGTAACTCCTTCAGCCCTAAATTCAATAGAAAATTTCTAGGAAGAACAGAAGCGGTGAATGATGTGCAAATATTTTTTCAATTCACAGATATTTCTATTCCCAAAATGAAATGATAAGGAGTTTCCATGATTCAGCAGGGCAGAAGTTATCTGTATAGCACAGGAGTCTTTCAAAAGCAGTGAAGACAATCAGACAGTTACATATCTACAACTTTCCCAGAGACACTAGGGAATCCCTGGCTTGCCTGAAAAATGAGAAAAGTAGTGGAGAAGCTCATTTTGCCTGAGAACTGTACTTTTCACAGACGATTCCAGAAACTCGCTGGAAATAACCAGGTCATATCACATGTTGGTACCTAGGCTGCAAATTTCTGTTCTCTGTGCAAGGTCTATAGTTAAAGCCAGAAAATTCATTTTTTTATGCAACCATATTGTGCTTGAGAGGGGCTCACGTTTTCACTGTGTTCCTAAAACTGGCTTTCTTCTGTGTAGGTAGTCACAGTAGTATATAAAGCAACCATCACAGACCCAAATACAGAAAACACTTGGAGGCTTTTCAGCAACACTTTGGGGAGTTTACAAATTATAAATGATAGTTTCTTCCCAAGCTAGGTTGTGGCTGCCTTTGTCCTAAGAGACAAAGATTTGTTTCTCCCAGTCAGCACTCCCTACAGGCAAACAAACAAGACAGAAGCTCTGGGAATGGGGTCTCTCTGAGTTCACTGTGGAATCAACTCTCATTCAAGGAATTCTGATAAATTACAGTGAGCCTGGCTGCACTCACAATGTGTCAACCATCCCAAAGGAAACCAACAAACAAAAAGTCACCTTTTCTCCTACAGAAAGTCCTAAAATCTTATTTAAATCTCAGTTTAATCCAGCACAGAGCTGAAAATGTGAACAAGGAAACAAGAGAAGCTGGGGGATTGTTGAGTGAGACCCATAGTATTCATTTCCGTATCCTCAGAGCCAAATGTTGGCAACACAATAACTCACATATTTATTGCTTGGGTCACACCACTTACAAATGGTGAAATGTAGTTCAGAACTAGCTAGAACCGATATTTGTCACAACTATCATATCTTGTTGACAAATCAAGAAAGGATTATTTACACAAAGATAATACATTTATTCAATTCTGTAAATATCTGTTGAGTTAAAAATATGTGCAAGGATGATTTTTGTGTTGTGTTCAATGAAAAAATGGATGAAACATGACTCAGAAAATTCAGGAGCTCAGAATCAAAGGGAAGAATTATATACATATATGTGTGCGGTGTGTTTGTGTTTTGTCTTTCATACTAGTAGTTGAAGCTTCAAACAACCACCAATATCACCAGCTCCCTCCCCTAGTGACTCGGTATCTGTACACACATCTATTTTAGTACTTATCTTGCCCTATCACAATTCTTTCCTTTTTGTGTCTATCACTGAAACGCAAATTTTCCAAGAAAATGGACAACATTTTATGCAGGTTTACCTTGCTAGTGATACCTAGAAGTGGGAGTAACAAGCAATTTGAAAATGCCCAATACAAGTCTGTGGGAATGAATATATGAAAAAATAAATGACTGGTAGGTTGAATGAAAGGAAAAATTAATGCAGGCTATAATGGAGATTCGAAATACCCCAAGATTTCTTGGCTTTTGCAAATCACAAACTACAATGTCAATTCATAAAACTAAACAAAAAATAAATTTTATATTTATATGTTGTTTTCCTCTAAAAGACATCATGTAGTTTCTATTTAATACTTTGCTTCTACCTCTATAGATATTTTAAGTGGGCAAAATAGGTAACAAAAAAGTTATAATTGCAATGGTGTGATAAGGAGAAATTTTAATCATGATTATAATAATTATAACAATTGTTATAATTGTTGCAATGAAAAGCTCTACCTGTACCATGAATTTTCCATTTACAATAAGAAACAGATGAATACCTAAGGTTTGTTTTCATAAAATGTATCATAAGCAATACATTTAATCCTATTTGGGGCATACGGTGAACTTTCTATAGAAAGCAATTTGCAAACAAATCCTGGAATTCCTGTAAAATCCATCTCTTGAGCTGGATGGATCTCTTCCTCCATCTAATCTCTTTCCTATTAGATTTGCAATTTCAAAATTTATAAAACCAATAAAGGTTTTCTCAAAGCTTATTTTCAAAGAGGTACTTTCATATTTCATACTAATAGTTAAAGCTTGCAGTGAAGTAGTGGCTCAGGTTGTGGATGGATTACACCTTTTCTAAGAGTTTTTAGGGTGATATTGAGTCATGAGAAAAACTTCTGATATTTTCACTCATTCAGTGAAAGTTTATTGAGCACCCCCCATGTGCTAGAACATTTGCCCCATGTACTAAGCACTGTATCATATCCTCTGATACAGAGACAGACGTAAGGTCTCTGCCCTCCAGATACATAGAGTCTAACGGGCAAATAGAATATAAAAGAAAAATAAACTGTTGTTATAAATATAGACTTTAGAGACAAACATGACTTCAAATTCCTGCTCAGCAATGCACTACTAATTATTTAGATCTCGTAAGTCTTTGTTTTCTCATCTGTAGGTTGAGAATTATAAAATCAAACATCATGTGACTGTGAAAAAAAGACTCTTAAGCACAGTCTGGATATTATCTTTGGACTAAATATTACTGCTATAAAACAGAAGACAGAATAAGTGGATTCTGAAAATAAAAATATATATATAATAATGTAAACTTGCAATCAGGAAACTGGCTCAGACTAAGAGATTTTTTCTGGATCTCTAAAAATATTCATTTGGATTTTGAGACAAGTGTAACCTTGTTAAGCATTCAGGAATAGAATCTATAAATCTATAATACCTGCCTCATAAAGACTTGGATTCTCTTGGTCACCAAAAAACTTCACATAAGTTTAAAGAAGAAGAATCAGTAACATAAATTGTCACAAGTACAGCAAACACAAACCTGCTTATTTTCTACTATTTGCTGAAAGCCAGTATTGTAATGAACATAACATGCAAAGACTCTGTGGTAGAAACAGGCTAGTTCTTCTTTCTCTT